TTTTCCCTTGCTGTTTTTATATCAAAAAGTAGGATTCAATGTTCAAAAACTGGTCCCTTGCCAAGGACACGCAGCTTTATCTGCTCCTTTCCTTGGGAGCGTGGTTCTTCAGTGCTGGCTCCTGCATATATATTTATGCAAGTCACCATTCACAGGCACAGGTTTTCATAGAAAATGAAGGTTGGAAGGGACCCCAGCAGGTCTTCTAATCCAACCCCCTGCTCAAAGCAGGACCACCCTAGACAAAGGCTTGTCGAGCTGGGCCTCAAAAATTTCCAACAATGGAGATTTCATCATCTCTCTAGGTAACCTGTTCCAGTGCTTCACCACCCTCCTAGTGAGAGTTTTTCCTAATATCTAACCTAAATTTCCCTTGCTGCAACTTGAGATCATCGCTCCTTCTTCTGTCATCTGCCACCACTGAGAGCAGTCTAGCTCCATCCTCTTTTGAACCCCACCTCCAGGGAGTTAAAAGGCTGGTATCAAATCCTCCCCCAGTCTTCTTTTCTGCAGACTAAATAACCCCAGTTCCTTAGAAGCCATGTGTCCCAGCCCCCCTAACCATTTTTGTTGCCCTCTGCTGAACTCTCTCCAAGTTGTCCACATCCTTTCTGTAGTGGGGGGCCCAAAACTGGACACAGTACTGCAGATGTGGCCTCACCAGTGCAGAACAGAGGGGAATAATTACTTCCCTCGATCTGCTGGCAAATGCTACTAATGCAACCAAGTATCTTGTTAGCCTTCTTGGCAACAAGGGCACACTGCTGACTTATATTCAACTTATTGTCCACTGTAACTCCCAGGTCCTTTTCTGCAGAGCTGCTGCTTAGCCAGTTGGTTCCCAGCCTGTAGGGTTTGTGTGCATATGTTTTTCTGCTGTGCATACACAAGACAGTGCTTAAAACTGGAGGCGAGTGACATGAATAAGCCAAAGTCACATTGTAGAAATAGATTTGGGGTTTAAGTCCCTTTTAAAATATGGGTTGGAACAAACTGATCAAGAGGGCCTGTTTCTGATCTCAGAGCACTGGAGTAACTCCAGTAACTTGACTACCTTTACCCCTAATTTACACTTGTATATGATCAGGCTCAAGCCCATATAGTACTTAAGTAATTTTGTGACATATTCTGTTTACATACCACAGAGTACACATACCGTTTTTATATACAGGCCTCATTTAATCATTGGGCTCCATTAAAAAACACACTTTAGCTGGTTTCCTTATTGCAATGCTAAAATAATCCATACAAATAGGAGTAAAAAAGCCTCCTTTCTACTGGGGGCACTGGGATAAATCAATTTAGTATTTTATACACTGAAAAGAATAAAAGGAGTCCACTTTTTGTGTGTAGTATGTGAATCCTATCCGCCATTTTGGCCAGTGCCAGAGATTCCCCACCTCCCTGCCAGCTAAAAGGCAGTGGGCTAGATCCTATTCCTCTTGTTAGGTGCCTAAGTGTAATCCTATTCCACCTGGCTTGAGTCCCTGAATTTAGTAAAATGCTGTTATCTTAGTCTTATGTTTAAGTCACAACAAAGCTGTGAGGAAGAGGACTCAGCCATCTTTTGATGAACAGTTCTTCAGTGACTCTTACAGGGTGAAATAGGATTACATGTAGGCACCTAAGTCTCTTATGTCTAATAGGTGGAATGGGATCTGTTTGTGCATCTCTAAAGGCTGAGCTAAAAAGTCGGAGTCTCCTTGGAGTCCTGTCACCTAGATACAACCTCAATGAATCATGCACAGTATATTGTACTTAATACACCCGTCAGTCACCTGCACTTGGGAGATGAAAACTGATCTAAAAAATACTTTTTATGCTATTCGCTTGACTTAAGGAAAAGTGTCCCTTCCAAATAAAACTGGAGAACATCCTGTTCCTGCAGGGTACATAAGAAAGGGAAAATGGGTCAAAGGAAAGAAGTAAAACACACCCATAGGATAAGTATTTGTGTAGAACACAAGGCCGAGTGCTGTACAACTGGAAGTGTGTGAAAGAAAAGAGACTGAGGTAGAGAAAAAGTAACTCACAGCCTACTTCCCACACACACCAAGGAGAGTGGTGAGGAACAGAGAGGCAGCTGCTGGGGAAACAAGGAGATACTGTCTGTGTACATGGCAAAAAAATCATCATTCATGACTATGCTATAGGAGGAGGTACCGAGCTTAAAGCTACATGGGGCCCCTTTTCCTTCCCCTGTGCTGCAATCAGACCTTTCTGGTGCTGTGGGTGAGAAAGCCAGAGCATTTATTTTAACATCTCAAATGAGGTTGGTACAGAGATGGGAATTGGACAGTTCACAGCCCATATAGTGAAAGTTGAATGTATGTGAAAATAAAATAACTGCCAGAGATAATAAAGCCTTTGTAGTGCAAAGCAGCTTTTTCGGGCAGGCCAAGGCTTTAGCCTTGGGTAAGGTAAACCCGTCTCTGCTTCATATGCATGAGACCAAAACTGGTAAAGCTGAATTAGTGGGTGGCTGCCCTCCACCTCCCCCTGCATGCCTCTTGACAGCAAGTAGGGAAGGGAAGGGGGAAAGTTTCCATTTCAGGAATATCTGAAGAGTGAGGGCTGGCATCTAGCAAAATGCCTCCAGTTTGAAAAACATGAGGGGGACAGGGGATAAGGGAGACAGGGACTATGTGCTCAGACTGTGGCTGGCTAAGGAAAAGAAGCAGGTGCCTTTGATTAACAAGGCAAATATTGTTGGGTCTCCTACATACATGCACGCCATGAGCCTGTGTGCACCATGGCATTTCTAAGGGCAACTTCTGAGGTTGAATTTTCATAATGTGCTGCTAAATACCTGTGTGTCCTGTGTGGGAGGGAGAACAAGGAGCTTTTCCTTTGTCTTTTGCCAGAGGACCTGGAACCAGGTCTAGCTGGGCTAACCTCTCTAAAGTGGGGCAGAGGGTGTGAGGCCTGGACCCCCATTGCTGTCCTATGCTGGGCAGCACCGTTACAGGTGCCAGGGGAATGAACACTACTACATCCTCCTCCATAACATGCTTGTCAGTGCTGTGGTAGCAATGTTCCTACCTACAAGAAAATAGGGTTGTTCTGGGGACTGGGTCACAGTGGGGGAACTGGTCCCCCAACCTAAGAGTCAGGGGGTGTGCCTACATGTGTCCCTGACTGCACAGTTGTTACTGCACAGTAATTTAGTGCTTCCCTTAGCTGCTGTCACTGTGCAGTCCCGGCAGCATGAGTCATTTCCAATCCTACTGCACAGTAGCATCAGTGTCACAATTTGTGCCCGCTGACACTATGCCATAGCTCGTCACTATGGCAATGTAGCATCTCATGTAGATGTGCCCAGGTTGGTGCAAAACAGTTGTATGCAGGTGCTGAGGAAGGTGCCTGTCTCTCGGAGGTGGCGGGGGGCATGAGGGGACAATGACCTTTTCTAGTGGGTGGGAGTAGTGCTAGTGTAAGAGCTTCACTTTACTTGGGCCTTGGCACTTCTCACTGGAGCGGATGGAGAATCCTGGCAGGTTGGTTGCAGAGCTCATGTCTTTGGGATGACAACAGGGATGCTCTGGGTGTGCTTTGGCAGTTGAGAGTGCATCAATGGGCATGCTGAAAGGTATCAGTGGCTGCCAATGAGCATAGTTTGTGTTCTGTAGCTTTAAGCAATTTCCCAAAGATGATAGTTCTCTCATCCTTAGTTTTCAAAGTGTTCTGGGGATTGGAAAAGGGGCTGGGTCCCAGTGGGAGAACTGTTCCCCCAACCTGAGAACCAGGTTGGTGCAGAACGCTCATCTGCAGGTGCTGAGGAATATCAGACAAAGGAATATTATTGCTAACAGCTCCTGTTTGTACCTCCTTTTCTTCCAGTCTTTTCCTTTCAAGTTTATCCTCTTCCAAAGCCCAGCCAAACCAGCTCTATTTTATAATAGCTCAGACAAAATTAAGCAACAAATGCAAGATTCAGTATTTTTGTCAGCTAAAATGCTGTGCATGCAAGGAACAAAAGGAGGATGAACCAAATATTGCCATTGCCCCATGTTCCCAGAAACATCTCGTTCTGGGCTTGTCTACATGTTGCCCTATGGTGATATTGCAGTGCACTCCCCAGGCATAGTGCGCCACTACATTGATATAGCAGCAAAATTTACATGTGCGCCATTGAAAGCAAATACTAAAACATGGCACTGTAGCAGCACTGCCATCTGGCAACGTGTAGAACCACCCTCTGATGCTCAACCAGGGTGCTACAGCATCCTGAGGTGCCTTGAGATCCTTCCAAAAGTGACACAGTGTGCCATGCAATCTTAGCACTGCGAGGTATGCAAGCATGATTCACAAGATAAATCCAGGGACTTCAAATAGAAATTCATAGTGTTAAAAATATTCTGACCTCTTGTGGTCTTTCTGAGTTTGCTGCAAGAAAAGAATTGTTTTAGTATTTTTCTGTAATCAAAAAAAAAAAAGAAAAAGGTAAAATCTGGCATTTTCCAAGGGGTGCTTTCAGCGAAAAAAGGGGTGACTCAAGCTGAATGAGGGGTGCCACGAGCCTAAAAGGGCACCACTTGAAAACCACTGATCTAACTAAAAAACAAAACAGCAGAAAGCGACGTGGCCACAGACTATTGAACCAGTCTCACAGACTAAGGATGAAGACTGTGTGTTTACATTCACTTCCTCCAGCTGCTCTGAGTTACTAAATGGAGCCAGAAACTTAAGTGTTGTTAGCATTTCCCCAGAGGAGATTGTTTGCATTTACTGAAGCAGATGAAAGAGTAATATCATTCAAAAAAAAATGGCTCAGAAAAAATGCAAGTGCTTATAGCTAGCTTCAGAGGGTGACAACATAGTCTTAAAAACTGATCCTTAAACAACAAAACCAATGCTTTTATGCTGTAAAGATGCCTCTTGCCCTCCAAAACCCCGAGCGAGCACACGCACGCACGCACGCACGCACACACACACACACACACACTCCTGTCTACTCTTCCCAGATCAGGAATTATAGCCACTGGATTATAGCTACTCACTGTTTGAAGACAATGTAGTTCTTTGCTACAAACTCCTGAGGCAGTTGCAGCCAAAGAGGTTTAATCTTTCAGCTCCCAACCTTTTTATAAAGTTCTTATCAATGTTTTACCTCCTTATTTCTCTCCCTCCTTTCCGCCTGCTTGGGGAGGTGTCAGTGTCCAGCCCCAGTGATTGGCTACTCAACAGCAACTTGCCCAGCCAATCAGTTTTATCTGCCCTTCCCCCCACCCACCCCTTCTATGGGCAAATATATATTTTTAATGATAGATAGATAGATAGATAGATAATTGCAAACGTATATGTTTAATTCCAAATGACAAAACTAATCTCAAAAGGTTCTTCTTACAGCTCAGTTCAATATCTTTCTTTGTCCTTCCAGGACATATTACAAATGATTATAAGACCTATGGCAGAACCTGTTCAAAGTGAATATGGACATAAGCTTGAGATTTAGGGCTGGATCCTCAACAGGTGTCTATTATTGTAATATCATGACCTGCCAACAGGCAGATCAGAAGGAGGATCTGAAATGTAGAGAATTTCATAGATTTCATAGACATTAGGGCTGGAAAGGACCTCAGGAAATCATCGAATCCTAAGGGCAGGAAGTCAGCTAAGGTCAAAGGATCACCACAAGATAAGCATGGGGAATGAAAAGAAAAAATGAAAGAAGAAACCATGGGCTACATCCCCAGCTCATTTGTATCATTTGTATTGCTGTACATCTATTGCCTTCCATGGAGATATGCCTATTGACTGCTGCTCTAATTTTGTGATCTTCAGTCCCTTAGGGAGCAGGAGCCAGTTCTCCTGTAATTTTGTACGTGGCCACACATAGTGAATATGCTTTGTATACAATCCTAATGTTACAAAATGTGGCTAAGTGCTTTAGAACAGTGAGCCTGAACCAGGGTGCCATAGTACTCCGGGGTGCCTTGAAATCCCTCCAAGGGTACCAGAGGGTGCCACAGACTGTTAGCACTGTTGCGTGTGTCCATATGATTCAAATGATAAACGCTGAGATTTCAAATAGAAAATTTATGGTGTTAAAAATGTTCTTATGTTTTGTGGTCTTCGTGAGTTCTTTGTAACATAAGAATTGATTTAGGTTTTTTTTGGAGTCAAACAAGGAAGAGCTGGCATTTTTGGAGGGGTGCTTTGAGCCAAACAAGGGTTGTCTTGAGTTTAAAAGGTTGGGAACCACTGCTTTACAACAGATAATCCAAACTCCTTCACAATGCCATAGCAAGATGCAGGTGAGTGGGGTGACTGTCCCGGGTGCCTAAGCGAAGGGGCGCCAATAGGCGCTGCCCAGCCAGGGTGGGGCGTGGGATACAGCTGTGAGCAACTTGTTTGGGGGAGTGCGGGTATAGAGGGAAGGTGGCTTCTGCTACTGCATGCACTCCTGGACAAGTATGGGGGAG